CCAGGCTGCTTTACAACAGCCGTGGGACTCACAGGAGTCTCTACCCTCTGGCTCGCCTGGGACGGGATTGGAGGCGTGGACAGTTAAATGACAGCGACATGTAATGATGAGCTCGAGGTAGAACCCATATCCCCATGGCCGCCCCGAGCCCTCCCACTGGCTGGTCAGGGCAGGCTCCCTGGAGGAGGCGGCTCTGAGATGGACTCAGGCTGTGTGGCTCCTCTGGGTGTGCCCCCCCGCCCCCGGGAGGTGGGCCATGCGAGGAGAAATGTGGGAGAAGAAGCCCAGGAGGGCTCAGCTTGTACCTGAAAGAGAGAGGGAGTGGGGAGAGGCTGGGGGGGGGGGACCAGATAGACAGAGAGACAGACAGACAGAAGGATAATGGAGAATCAGCCACATCACGTGGAGCCATTGAGAGCTGGGCAGAGCACCGGTGTGTCCCAGTGTCCCGGCAGAAAGCCACGCCGCAGTGTGCCCCTCCTTGGCCACGGAGGCCAGCGGCTGCGGCCCCGATGGACCCTCCGGCACACGGGCTCCCCGCAGCCGAGTCTGCCGGGAGATGCGTGGCCCACGCGCCCTTCGGAGACGGGACGCCCCTTTCGCGGTGGGAAGTGCTGGTTTGGACTGAAGGGAGCTCCTGTCTGCTGCCGGTTTCCCTGTAATTCTATCCTTTTTATTTAAGAAGAGAAAAACGCCCCATCGTGTCATAAAAGCAACTCTGAGTGTTTAAGAAGAACTAAGATACTTCCTCGCTCAGCTGCCATGTGAGGGGGGAGCTGTCAGCCTGCCTTCCCTCAGCCGCACCGAGAGCTGGCGCTGCCTCCTCCGCAGGCACAGGCCCTGGGCTGCCTATAAATAGCAGCTGCTTCCCGGCTCGTCTCTGTGTACACACACACACACACACACACACACACACACGACACACAGCAGGCTTCCCGGGCACACCGCCACACGTGTGCAAACACACACACACACACACACACACACACACGTGCGCGGGACGCACGGCAGGCTTTCCCGGGCACACCGCCACACGTGTGCAAACACACACACACACACAGACACGGGACGCACGGCAGGCTTTCCCGGGCATACCGCCACACATGTGCAAACACACACACACACGGGATGTATGGCAGGCTTCCCCGGGCATACCATCACACATGTGCAAACGCGCACACACACACACACACACACACACACACACACAGCTGCATCCCGCAGCCCCAGGCTGTGAATCTCCCCCCAACCACAGCCCGGCCCCCGAATGGAGAGCTCAGCCCGGGAGCCCCCAGGGGACCCCGGAGCCTGATCAGAAAGCCCCGGGAGTTTGTACAACACAGATTGCTACAGACAAACTTGATTGCTTTTTTGATTAGTGGGTAAAGGGAATGGATTTGATACGCTGCCGCGAGAAATAGTGTGCAATTAATCCCCGGATGGCGTGGCGATGACATTGTCAGGCGGACTGGGAACGGCGGGAGGCGGCGAGTGAGGACGATGCTGACAAAGGCATCAGGCAGGCCCTGGCGTGGTGAACGAGAGGGGAGGGGCTGGATGGGGGCACCTGCGTGGCCGTGCCCTCCAAGCATTGCCGAGTCCCTGCCCCCTGCTCTGTCCACCGGGAAGGCTGGGCTTGGCATGGCAGACACCCGTCTGAGTGGCCTCCCACTGCCCACGATGCCCAGATGGTTCCAGCCCAGACCGAGCCCAGGTCTCCGCCGCTTCCTGCGTTCTGTGTGTCTCCATTTGGGCGTCTTCCGAGCCCCTCAAAGTCTCCAGGTGGAAATCTGGTCAGCCCCTCCCACCAGCCTGCTGCAACCCCCTTTCCCCCCTCTTCCTGCCCCAGTGACCTGCACCATCATGTGCCCATCTACCAGCCAGAAGCTGGGTAGTCTTGACGCCTGGCAGACATGGCTGTGTCTCTGCACCCTGGTCATGGGCCCCGCAGCCTCCGCCTCACAGGCCTGGCTCGGTGCCCAGCCTTCCAGGCTCTGCCTCCCTCTCCCCCCCACCCCTGGCCACATGGCTGCCACGGGAGCTCCGAATCCCACCTCAGATCCTGGCGCCTTTCGTTCCCGCTGCCCTGGGTGAGGCCCAGCTCCTTGTTGTGTGGCTCCCTGGCCTTTGTGATCTGACAGCTTTGACACCCTGCCTGGCCCTCCCCCTCCCCCTCTCTCTCCCCCATGCACTTCCCACTCACATCCACCCTAGCGTCCTGTCCTCACGGCAGAGCCTCCGGCCCAGTCTGCTGTCTCCCCTCCGGCCCCGCCTGCTTTCCTGCCACCTTCCCTTGGCCAGCCCTGCTCACCGCACCGCCTCCAGCTCCTCTGCCCCCACTGCTTTCCACCCTCAGCACCCAGGGGACAGGAGCGGGCGGTCCCATCTCACAGCCTGGAAGCAGTACCCCAGCTGGTGAGCGGAGGTCTCCCACCCCAGACAGGACCCTCCTCTCCGCAGCCCTCCCTGCTGCCTGCGCTCACCGCAGACTCCCGCAAAGGCAGTCCCAGCCGCGCAGGGAGTGGCGGATGCAGAGCCCATTCCCAGGATGCTTCCCCAGTGCCAGACTTCACAGCACCAAACAGAGCAAACCTTCCCTGCCTCCGTCCTTCCCGGGGCCAGCCTGTAGAGCCAGGTGTCCTGGCCGAGCCACTGGGGACAGCTCCCAGTCGCCTCCCTCCACCTCCCTCCTGGAGCTTCCAGCCCAGGACAGAGCCCGCAGCCCACAAGTGTGCTGAGCGGGGACAGGGAAGGGCCAGCATTCGGGGCAGAGTCCTGGGGGGGGGGGGGCTCTGGGGAGCGTTCCCTTCCCCCTGGATGCCTGTGACAGGCCTGGGGTCCTTGGGGGGTCCCCCGCTAGCCCAGCCCCCTCTCCTATCTTCCCAGCACTGTGCCTCTGGGCCCTGCAGGCCAGAGAATGGGAGCTCAGGGTGGTGGGAGCAACATCTAAAGATAGAGCAGCCTGTTCTGCAGGAGGCCGGGAGGCCCGAGGGGCCTCTGGTTAAAATGCATGAGGCTTGATGTAGAAACGGCGATCTTTCTTTTCATCGTTTGCCTATTGGATGGTTCTGGGCAGTTCTGGGGAGAGAGGGTCCCCGCGAGAGGGGGCAGGAGTGACTTGGGGGTGGGGGTGGGACGCGCGTCCTTTTGGTGCCTGCACAGAGGGATACACAGTAGGTGCTTAGAAAATTCTGGAGATTATTTCATGCGAGGTTCAAGGATGCTGCAGCCCAGAGAAGGCAGCAAGCCTCAGGGACATGCTGCAAATCAGCCAGGTTGTTTCCAAGTTCAGGGAAGAGCAGGGGAAGGGGGATGGGAAGGGCAGAAGGAGGGGCGGGGGAGGGCGCTGCGAACTCTCCAGAGGAGTGAGCAGCGGGAAGGAGCAGGGGGAGCCTGTATTTCCAGGGGTCGGGAGAGGCTTCCCTCAGCCATCGAGGCCTCCCGTTTGGCTGGCTGCATGAGGACAAGGCCTGGAACTGCCCCCGAGACCAGGCAGGGTCCGGAGGAGAAGGGCTGCTCCGTGGTGCAGCCAAAGGCCCACAGACACTGGTCCAGACGTGGACCTTGTGGGCAGGAAGGAGTGCGTTATCAAAAATTAAAACTAAAAAAAAAAAAAAAAAGCGGGGAAGAAGTGTTCTGAGAAGTCAGACAAGAATATTGCCTTTTTAATAATAAATACATTCCGTGGCCAAGCATTGCAAGGGAATCGTTTAAATTAATTTCCGCTGTGTGTGTTTGGTGTGTGCGGGGCGGGCGTCCCAGCTGACAGCGATCTGTGGAAGTGCTAACATATTGGAAATCCGATTTCTTGCAGCCAGAACTCACTGGTCTAAAGTGATTTCTCTCTCAGCCCTGCTAACCAGACAGGCAGGCCTCGGGCTCCTCGGGGCTCCGTTCCTGCCTGGGGCTTTGGGGTGTGAAGGTGGCGGGGGGGGGGGGCGGGGGAGAGGCGGTGGGCTCAGCAGAGCTGGTGTGGGGTGGAGGAACGGACCGGAGGGAGGCGAAGATGAGCAGAGGGAGGGAAGGAGGGCCTTCTCTCTGCCCTCCCCCTGCTGGACCATCTGAGGGGAACCCCACGAGCTGGGAGGGGAGCACTCCAGTTGGAACTGGAGGCTGAAAGGGAAGGCAGAGTCCTCCCACGCACACTCTCAGGGGCCGGTGGTGAGAGGCCCTGGCTGATGTGTCTCTCCCACCCCTCCCCCACCTCTGCCAGCGAGCCAGCCCGAGGGTGTGCAGTGCCCTTTGCACGGCGTTCAGGCCTCGCTGTCCCAGCAGGCATGCCACCTCCGGGTCTGTGTCCCTCCTCCCAGCCACCACACACACCGCCCCTGAACTTGAGTTCCCACCCACCTTATTCCTATATCCCACCTTCTGTCCCTCCTTGCTATGGCTGTTTCCTAGAACCAAATCCATCTGCAAAAGAGGCTGGTTCATGCTTAGAACAAACCAGTCTGCGAGGAAGCAAACTGTAAGTCAGGACCACACAAAGCGGGGGTGTGACGGGCCTCTCAGGTCTGCAGGTGAGACCTCCCCAGCCCCACACCCCTGGGCTCCTACCAGCCAGGGCGGCCCCGTCCGGTCTGACGCTCCTTGGCCAGGAAAGGTGTGGAGTGTGTATTTGAGTGGATTTTGTCACCTTCAGCCCCTCCCCGTCCCCCAGGCGGCCTTGACCGAGGCTCTATGAACGAACCCAGGTACTCCACGCCCCTGAAATCACAGGAAAATGCACCCACAGATGCCCGCCCTGGCCCTGGCTTTTCTGGGTTCTCACAGACTCCATGGCCGGAGAAAGGGTGAGCGGCCAAGCTGCGCGTCACGGGTGCCGGCTGGCTCTGCCACTGAGCTCAGGCCGCCCCGCGGGGCCCACACGCACAGGCCCTGCCCTCGGGCCCCCGGGCACTGGCCCTGTCTGTGGCCCTTTCTCGCTCCTTCTCTGCCGCGCGTCTTCCCCCTTTCCTTCCCTCTTTCCAACTGAATTCTCGTTTTTCCTCTCTCCCTAGTGCTTGTACGGCTGCTACGTCCACTCTTCCATCATCCCCACCTTCCACCGGAGGTGTTACTGGCTCCTTCAGGTAGGTGGCCGGGGCGCGGGGCTGCTTCGTCTCCGGTGCTGGCAGGGTCTGTGGAGGGGCCGCTGGGGGGCTCCTGCGTGCAGCGGCCCTGGCCGGCTCTCCCAGGGGCGGTGGAGTGTGTGCTGAGGCCAGGGTGCCGTGTAGGGTGCCTGGAAGGGGAGAGAACCCGGAGGGGGGTAGTCCTCTCCTGCCCACTGGGAGTAAAGCCTCTGAGGGTGTTTCCAGGTGCCTTGGCTTCCTCTGGGTGAGGACAGAAGGACAGAAGGACGGGAGGACGGCTAAGCGTCCTGTCCCTGACCGGGGAATGCCCGCTGGCTGCACGCTGCGCCTTCCTTTTATCTCAGGGGCCAGGGGTTGGCATGTGTGGAAAACGGGCTTCTGAGGGCACAGCAGTTGCAGGTGCATTGACTTGGATCGAGGGGGAGGTTGGTTGGAAGAGGAGGCGCTCCTGGCTGGGGGTTGGGGGAGGGGAAGGAGCTCTGTGATCCATTTGTGATGTCTGCCGTGTAGCAGGATGGAGGAAGGTGTCCTTGTTGCGTAGGGTGGCCTGGTTGCCGCGTTGCTGTCCATGGTGCTGGTGCACAGCCTTGCTGAGTCCAATTCCAATTGGTGGTGTTGGTTGGTCCTCCTACCTGCTCAAAGCGGCTGCTGTGTGCGTGGGGAGGCCAGAGGGATGCCTCCAGCCAGGCCGGGTCTGGGTCCTCAGAGCTTGGCCTCTGGTGTGCAGCTGCTGTCAGAACCCACCCTGGGGGGGCCTGGCACCATCCCCCAAGTTCTTGCTCCAGGAGTTGCTGGCTCTAGCCTTTGCCACCGGGAGTCCACTGTCTGCATCTGCTGTGATTCAGGCTCCCCAGCCCCCAGGCCCAGCGCTCTGGGGGATCTGCCAGCCCTCGGGTGTGGCATGTGTTCAGAGGACAGCCTCAGAGTGTGGGGGCGGGGGGGGGGGCTGGTCCCAGGGCAGGTGGCCTGGAAGGTGTCCCAGGCCCAGAGCCGTCTTGGTGTAGACGCTGAGGCTCCTCCACCTCCAAACCCCCCCCCCCGCTCTCCCCCGTTCCCAGGAGCAGTTGTCTGTGGTGGGACAGCTCGTTGGCAGCTGACGCCAGGACTGTCCAGGGGCAGGCTGACCTGCAGACACGGTTTCCCGACAACCTGCCCTCTGCCCAGTCTCCCGGGTCAGTCTCGCCCGGCGGTGGCCGGGGTGCACCTGCCTTTCCAGTTGCTCGGTCCTCAGCTCCTGGGAGAGGAGCCTGCGGTGCTTGTGGGACGACAGTTCCCTGTCTGGGTCATAGGAATGGGCTCCACCGTTTAGCCCGCGGCTTTCTCCTGCGCCTGAGGGGTGTGTGTGTGTTGGGGGGGGGGGGGTGGTTAGAGCCTGCCCGGTCTCCAGGCCACACTCTGGCTGCACCCTCCTTCCTGGGCCTCCAGCCCCTGGAGGGCCCTGTTCGGGCTCTTTCCCTCTTCGGTTCTCATGCCCCGTCAGCACCTCCCAGCGCTCCCTTCCTGCCGGCCGCCGCCCTCCCGCCAGCCAGCCCTCCAGGGCAGTGCTCCCCTCTCCCACCCCCAGGCCTCCACCCGCCGCCTCTCATTCCACCACACTCTCGTGGTGATTTAACTCCACTACTTTTACTTCCCCGGGATCAGACACCACCAGGCAGACACAGGGTCTCCTTACTCCCAAACTGGATCCACTCAGTTGGGCGCCTGAAGCCAGGTTCCCCTTAGATCCCGGTGCCCCTGCCCTGTTTGTGGGGCCAGGTGGGAGGTGGGAGGGGTCCTGCTCCCCAGGGTGTCACCCCCGCCCACATGTGCTGGGTTAGTTACCTTCCGGCTGGTGGGGAGCCCGCGTCTCCCCGAAGGCCAGCGTCCCTGGCTCCATTTTCCTCAGGGCTCATCCGGGCCTGTTTCCTCTCCCACCCCCAGGGGACGTTCAGCCCACCCCCCTGCGTCCTCGAGTGTCACTCCCGGTTCCGTGAGCAGCAGACAGGAGGGAATGCTTACGGGTGGGGCCCCTCTTCCCGCTCATCCCGGGCGCAGGAGGCCGAGGATCCAGGGCCAGAGCAGTTAGGTGGCTCACGCCAGCCGCTGGGGGCCACTTGTTCGGTGCTAACGGCACCCGGACCAGGACGGCGGGCCAGGTTCACGTCTGATCGGAAGCAGGAAGGAGCCGGGAGACACTGGCCCTGAAGGAAACGGGCCCGAGTCTGTCTGACAGCAATTACCCAGAGGAAGAGCAGGTGGGCGGGAGGTGTCAGCGCAGAGACACGGCGGAGAGTGGAGACGGAGGCGGCTCAGGTGCCAGCTTGGCTCCCAGGAGGCCAGCCCGGTGCCCAGGGGAACACAGCTGCAGAGAAGGGGCAGCGGCCTGGCACCCGCCGCACACCCCCCTGCCCAGCGCACGCTGACTGCTGGGCAGGGAGCCTTCAGGACTTCCTGGGCTTCCCCTTCTCCTTGTCCAAGCACACCCCAGGCCTCGTTTGGAGGAGGGTGGGATAAAGGGGGGTTAGTTTTCAAGGAGCAGCCCCTTCTCCCCCCACTGCTATCCCAGTGCAGTGGCGTCTCTGCCAACCCACAGGCCGGGGGCTCCTTCCTGCCTCCGAGATCCTCAGACTGGTTCCGCCTCCCCCAAGGCCACGTGGCCCAGCGAGACGCCTACCGCCCAGGCCGGGATCCAGCCAGACTGTGAGCTCGCTGCGGGGACCTGCCAGCCTCTCCCCCAGGGCCCGCACCGGAGGGGCCAGGCCTGCTGCAGGCGGCCTGCGCCCCCACAGGGAGTGGGTGGGCTTGTCAGACCCACACAGAGGTAGCTAGCCCGCCAGAGCAGAAGGTCACGGGGGTGACAGGAGCTGAGCAGCACTCAGAGTGTCCAAGTGACCTGGCTTTCAGAGAAAAGCCCTCTTCCTCCTTCTCTCCCTCCTCCTTTGCTAATAAATATTTTATCAGGATGTGAGCAGGGCCTCCCAGTGAAGCCACTGAGGCCACTTTATTAGCCGCAGGTGCATGAGGTCACCGCTGTGTCTGATGGGCACCACGGAAGGCATCTGCCCAGGCAGCATCTCCAGACCCCGGCCACCCTGAGCCCAGGTCCCCGAGCTCAGGCCACTCCCCCGCCAGAGCAGGGCCTTTGGCAGCTTCACCTTGACCTTGAGATGCCCCCGGGCAGGCGAGCACACACCTCCACCTGTTGCGGTGGCGGCGGTGGCATCGCTGGGGCCCGAGTGGGCAGGGCCGGCCCGGTCACCTAGCTGCGGGAGGTGGCCAGGCCGGGACAGGCCGCCGGCTCCTCAGCTCTGCCTCCTGGGCCTGACCGTGGACATCTCTGCAGCTGTGGGTCCCTGAGCTCTGCGGCCCTCAAGGCCCCCTCCCTGCCTGTGGCCTCTCCTGTGGGGGTTTCCCACGCCAGGGCTCAGGGCCTCCTGCTCCTCCCTCGGTGCCTCCCTCCCTGCCCGCTCCCGGGAGCCTGGCCTCAGGGGGCCGTCCTCCCAGCACCTCTGGCTCCCGGGGAGGCTCTCTCCGCTTCTGCTGAGCGCCCTCCTCTTTGCCTCTTCCTCCAAATGCGTAATGAGTGTCTTCTGTGCTCCATGAAGCAGGGAGGCTGGGAAGCCAGGGGTGCAGGGCCGTTCCTGTGTGTCTGCCCCCGGCATTCGGGCTGTGGGGATGCCAGGACCAGCTCCCCGGGTGGAGGCAGCCGGGCTCCTTCCCAGCCCCCTGGCCGCACACAGAGGCCTACGGGCTGCGCAACCTGTGCACCCCGGGCCCGAGGGCAGGGCTGCGGTCACTGGAGGTGGCAGCCGTGCGGATTTCAGTTATGGGAGCTGGGCTCTGGCCCTGACACCCCTGGACACTGGAAGTTGGGACCACACAGCCACTGGGGCACGGGGGTGTGGGCCCTGAAGGAGAGTGAGTGAGGGTGCCAGGGGAGGCGGGGCACCAGGGAAGGCGGGGTGGGTGGGGGTCGGAGAGGGCGGCGTTCCAGGTAGAAGGAGAGCCCAGCAGGGAGATGGCTGAGCCGGAGGAGGCCGCGGCACAGGGTGCCCAGCCCCCCCTGCCCAGCTCATCCCCCCCCCCCCCGAAGCCTGTCCCCGGGAACGGACAGGGTGTGTGTGGGAGGAGCTGGACAGGAACTGTGCAGCCAGAGGGACATTCTCGAACTGCCTTCCCATCCCGGCTCCATTCTAGCCGGCAGCTCCCATTTCTTCCTGCGTTTAATGCGCCTGAATAATGTGACAAGGTGGACACTGGGAATTTACTGCGCCCGCACGGCCGCTCAGTTCCATTAAGATCCCGGGATCTCCGCCAAGCGCGCCGCCACTTCCCGCAGGCATCTTCCCTGATTGCAATTTACGATGCCGGGGCCTCCGAGGGGGCTCCGCCTCCAGAAGCAACGCTGTTCCCCAAAAGTGGCCATTATTCTCTCTAAGGAAAGTGCCTGGGCATCTTCCAGAAAATTCCCTCATCCTGCCCCCCTCCTCTGGGGACAGGCACAGCCAGGGAGAGGCTGCAGCTGGCTTTTTCAGCGGCCACCGACCCAGAGGATCTGCTGGGAGCAGGGGGCAGCTGCCTGACCTTCACCTTGCCCTTTGCAGCTGCAGCCCTGGGCGGGGTGGGCACTGAGTGTGGGGGGGATAGGGGAGAAGTGGGGAGACTCTGAAACCCGTCACGGCCTCAGTGTCATGCTTGGTACACTGAAGCCCCCATGCAGTGGGGACATCATTTGCTCCAGGGGATGGCTGGGTGGGCATCGCTGGGAAGGGGAGCCCCCCAAGACGGCCCCCCCAGACCGCCTCTCAAACGGCCAGGTCCTCGGCCTGCCCCAGGCGGCTGTGCGATGACCAGCCCGTTCGCTAATTTGCCTGCAGCCGCGGGCAGGAGCTGGGTCCGTGGCCAGTGAGACGGAACCTCCACATCAGAGCCACAGCCCCGGCGCCCCGCTGTGACGGACCGCCACCCGTGCAGCCCGTCCTGCAGCCCCCTCTGTCCTTCAGCCTCAGAGGACGGGCTGC